TGTGTGTGTGTGTGTGTGTGTGTGTGTGTGTGTGTGTGTGTGTGTGTGTACACATACTCAACCCTTCGCATTGGTGGGGGAGGATGTTTTGTGCAGCTGCCACCTGTTCCCACAGCAGAATTTCCATCAGGGTTCACACCACCAGAAACTGTCAAAACCTCACAACGAATTTAGCCCGATGACTGTGTAGGAGGCTCAGCCCGAGGGGTACCTATCATACTTGCCAGCACAGATCTCACCTCTGAACCAAGTTGTTATGTTCAACATCACCAGCGTTCACAAGTCACACCAGCACATAGCAAAGAGAAGGACATGAGGAGTCTGAACAGATGTTGAAGGGTTCTGCTTCGTGGCCCAGCGCTGAAAGCAGGGACTAAGCCAACAAGCAGGACGCTGAGCACAAGACAGGAACAGTATGTTTGAATACAATTCAAATGACCCATTATATGTCCATTTGGTCTATAGCCCCAAATCACTCCTGGTGCTGGCGGCTTTTCTCATGGGCTGATTGGACAGGACTGCAGCGGGGACAGGAAGATTAAAACCACTGCTCAAATCTGATCCACTTTTCCAATAGTTTCACATTGCTCCGGAAATAACAGTCGAACACTCTGGCCAGCCAGTCAATGGGGAACTCCTAAGACTAGTGTATCCCTGTCTGACAGCTTTACAACTGGCTCCAGTAGCACACTGCCTTTAATGTCAGGAGTATGTCTACACTGCAAAGAAACACCAGTGGCACTGAGTGTCAGAGCCCAGACCAAGTGATTCGGGCTGCAGGTCTAAAAATTGCCGTGTAGACGTCCAGATTTGGACTGGACCCCAGGCTCTGAAATCCTGTGAGGGTCTCAGAGCCTGAGTTCCAGCCAGAGCATCTACACTGTTATTTTTGATCCCACAGCCCGAGCCCCATGAGCCCGAGTCAATCGATCCAGGCTCTGAGATTTGGCACTGCGTGTTTTTGTTTGCAGTGTAGATAAGCACATATGCCTCTTTGTTTAACACGTCCTTAAGTAGCTACAGAAAGTGCTTCACTGAATATTGCATCTCACAGATCTCCGGGGATTTGCACGCCGGCATGGGTTCGTTCTGTGGATTGCTTTGGCTGGCAACGTGATCCTGGTTACAGCGGTAATTGCACTGGGCAGTCAGGGTGAGTCGCTCAAGGCCTGCTATTCATTGGAACGGGTCCCTAGTGACTGCAGCTGGTTGGGAAATTTTGGAACGGTTTTCCATTGGAAAATGCAGTTTCATCAGAATGAAAGAGTTTCGGGGGAATGTGTCAATGTCTATAAAATTGTCACCAGAAAAACATCCAAACAAATCTTTAAATTTTCTCATTGAGTTTCAATAATGTTAAAAGGTTTTGTTTTGATGAGGTAAACATGTTTCATTTTGACTTATTTTGTTTCAGTAAGGTCAAAATGTTTCATTTTGATAAGGTAAAAAGTTTTGTTTTGACTTTCCCATTTTGATTCATTTTGTTTCTACATTTATAGTCTATAAAAAGCAAAATGTTAATGATATATTTATAGTTCTGAATGTTACACATTTAACATCATATTGAATATGATATGAAAATGTTTTGACTTGTCGTAACGAAATGCCTTTTTACCTTATCACACTGAAACCTTTTGACATTATCGAAACAACTGGTTCAATGTTTCTGAACAGAATTTTTTTTTTTTCTTCAGAGTTTTCATTTTGCGGGAAAGGTCAAAATTTCAACTTTTCATTCCAATTCAGAATGAAAACAAATGTCTAAATGTTGGAAATGGAGAATCCGTTCGCTAACTAACTCTTCAGCGACGTAGCCCCAATTCTCCTGTCCCGGCATAGTTCCCTTGAAATTTTGCTCCACTTGTCAGTAGATAACTGGACGCATCATCATGGCCAGGGCAAAGTGTTGTCCAGTCTGAGCTTGGTTCCTGAAACTCAGGTCATCCAGTTGGGGAGAAACGTCATCTTTGTCAAATATCGTTGCCCCTTTGGTCCGAATGGTTCGCTGCTGTTCATGGCCTTGCAGGGCTGTTGCCATTAGGAGAATTCAGTATGAGTCAGGTCTGTTCTTAGTGTCATCTTGTTTATTTACAAAAAAACATGCACAAAGTCCTGTTTCTCTGATCACAGGAGAAACAAACAGCAGGAAGTCTCCTTGCTCAGAAATCCCCAAGCCTGCCTCTCCACTGAGTGCTGTGCCCAAGAAGTTCTGTCTCCGTGCTTCCTCTCAGAGGTCATGCTCACAACTGCTTCTCCTGGCTCCTTCCCTCCAACACACACAGGCTACAACCAATAACCTAGCCCCTGTGTTTCCAACCAGGAAACCTCTCCACTCACCTGGCTTAGCTCTGATCTGCCACGTGGCCTGTTGCAGTGGGTGGTAACCTCCGCTGTCTGCAGCTGTCTCTGCCATATAAGGGGGCTTAATTGCTCCTTTTGTTGAGGTTAAAGGAGGTTGCTTGGCTCCCACTGGCTTTCATTAGGCAGTGATTGCAGGGCCGGCTTTAGGAAGTGCGGGGCCCGATTCGAACAGTTTCGACGGGGCCCCAACGGGGATGACTAAAAAAAAACACGTAAAAAAAATACGTGGGGCTTGTACTCACCGGGCCGCGCTCCTAGTCTTTGGCGGCGGGTCCTTCACTCGCTCCGGGTCTGAAGGACCCGCCGCCAAAGTGCTGCCAAAAACCCAGAGCGCCGCCGGGTGAGTAAAAAAAAGGTGTCTCCAGCCAGGGAAGGGATTCTCTGCCACTTCCCCCCACTCTGGGCGGCCCTGCCACTGGGTGCGGGGCCCTCTTAGGCGCGGGTCCCGATTCGGGGGAATTGGTGGAATTGGCCTAAAGCCGGCCCTGAGTGATTGTCCTTGGGTCAAACACCCCCTGGATGAGAACTTTCAACATCACGATATGAAGGAAAACATGGAATGGATTAGAATATTCATCATGAACAAAGCTCCTCCTTCCTTCCTGCCACACTCCATCACCTCTGTCCCTACCAGGGTCAACAGATGCTCCTTGGTGATTTTTCACATCATCACATTCTCACTGTTCAGATCCCTAAATAGTGATGATCATTCCAATTCCTTACCTCTTTGCTGGCCGCTGGCAGATATCAGGGTCTGGCAGGTCAGTTTCCTGTGTGGAGGAGAGATTGGTAATGCAGATCCCAGGGTATCTCCTAGTGCAATTTGTTTATTTACTAGATGATAGACAGATAAGGGAGGGAGGGTGTGCATGGGGATAGATGGATGGATAGGGAGGGAGGGTGTGCATGGGGATACTGTAGATAGATATCTTGGTTCCTGGTCATAAACTGCTCCCTGGCAACACCCCCTTGCAGAAGCCCCAGTGCTGGTCACCAAGAAGCAGGTATCCTCTGTGTCTCTTGCACTCTTACCCTGTTCCTGCCTCGGCCCCGGGGAAACCCCCATAGTCCAAGCCGCTCCCCTAGGACTGCATGGTCTGGACAGGTGCCCTAGCCATTAGCCCTCCTTAGGGGCAGCTGCTGTGCAGCAGAAGGGACCTTGGGAAAGCCCTGGGGCCCCTGGGAGCTTGTACATCAGTGACCCCTAAAGTGCACAACCCGAGCTCCTGCGGCCATAACAGCAACAGTAACAACCACTCACTTGTCTGCTGCTTGGAAGTTTTCCAGGGCCACTCCCTGCAGACGGACACTGGCGCAGTCTCATCGGTCCCCGAGAACGGCAGTGTCGCCCAGAGACACTCCCCCGGCAGAGAATGCAACAGGAGCCTGGAGGACTTGGTGTCTCGCCTGAAGCAGAGTCTGTGTCACTCAGCCCAGAGCCCCTCAGCAGGTAACCGCAACTCACTGTGGCTCTGAGCCCCTCGGCATGTTCCATACACCGCGTAGGCGGAGGCGGGGCCTGTTTGAAGGAGGCAGGCCATGGGCAGGCCAGCCTGCTAGCCTCTTTCCTCCTCCTATCCCAGTCCTCAGGGGGCCCTGGAGATTTTCTCTCACTCAGTGAGGCCAGGGGGATGGGGGGAGTACTGTGGATGGGGGAGGCAAGAAGGGGATCTTCTCCCATATTTCCTCCAAGGATGATAACATACGTTAAGGACTGTTATAAAGACAACGGGGATCAGTTGTTCTCCCTGGCCACTGAAGGCAGGATGAGAAGTAACGGGCTTCATCTGCAGCAAGGGAGATTCAGGTTAGATATTGGGAAGAACTTTCTAACTCTGAGGGTAATTGAGCTCTGGAACAGGCTTCCAAGGAAGATTGTGGAATCCTCGTCATTGGAGGTTTTTAAGATCAGGTTGGACAAACACCTGTCAGGCATGGTTTAGGTTTACTTGGTCGTGCTCAGCGCAGGAGACTGGACTTTATGACCTCTCAAGGTCCCATCCAGTCCGACATTTCTCTGAGTCTGTGAGAAGTGGTGCTGCTGGGAGAGAGTCTCCTTCCTCCAACCTCAGGCCAGGAGAAGATGAGCCTGGGGCATCTTTCCCCATCCCCACCAATGGGAGGGAGGCCAGAGGGGGATCATGGAGGTGGAGCAGAAACATGGATATTAGCATCTGGGACCAGATCCCAGCAGAGGCCAGGCCATCAGAGAAAGCCCTGGCCCAGGGGTAGGAGACACGGCCATATCCGACCTGCCCCATCCAAGTGGGCTCAGAGGAAGGAAATTTCTTTCCAAGCCTCCCCAGTCCTAGCATCGGCTGGAGGTAGGGCAGACATTGGGTGCCTGAATTCCTAGTCTGGTGGCATCAGGGGAAGGGAGGAAGTGCTGGCTACAGACAGACAAGCAAATACGTTTGTGATCTAATTTGGACAATGTTTGCTGGCCAACTAGCACCAATGGCAGACACCTCTCAGTGGGGATTGTGGGGCACAGTGCCCTCCAGTGGTCAGTCAGGGCAATTGTCAGGGTGACGGAATAGCTGAGCGAATAATTGATTTTTCGTTTCAGGGGCTGAACCAAAAAAAGGATTAAGGGAGGCAGGGGGGAGAAAAAATAAACAGTTCAGTTCAAACAAAAACTGGATATTTTATTTTTTTTTTTTTTTTTTTTGGAAAATTTTCAATGTATTGGAAAAAAATGAAAAACCTTCATTGTGGCTTCATTTTGACAACCTAAAACTTTTTTTCCCCCCATTTTTCAGGGGTATTTTGCCCTTTTAACATTTATTTTTAGAAAAACCAGACTGGAAGTTGAAATACTGTTTCAAAATGAGAAGTCGAAATGACACCTTTTGATATGGCTGAAATGAACCATTTTGTCTTTTTCCAGGAAAAAAACCCAAAGTTGGGGCCAAAACGATGTGTAATTCAACCCAAAATTTTGAATAGCTTGAGTGCAAAAAAATGCATTATTTGGCAAATTTACTATTTGCTGAATTCCCCCCCGTCCCCCCAGCTCTAGTGAGCAGGACAGGTTGGTCTAAGATACTAGTTCAATGAACTCCCCAAAGACCATATTTAGTGATAGTTCAGATTTCATTAGGGTACCCCGTAGCCATCCCCCCCAAAGGCACAGTCATGTTGCTACAGCACTGTCAGTAACACACTCCAGTGCTCTCTAAGGCCTTCACTCCCACCTCCAACAGGTACCAGAAAGCACTAGGCATCCAACTTCACCCACCTCTCACACAGAAACCTGAGCAGTGACCTCAGACGCTCTCTTGTAACACCAGCAGCACGTCTGCCTGTCACATGGCCCGTGCGTTTGGGAAGCAAGTGGCTCTGCTTTGTCAGGGCTGAGGGCGTCATGCAGGTTTTGCGGGAGGAGCGGAGATCAGGGGCAGCGCGGAGGTAGCCGTGTATGGCTGAGGCTGAGTGTGCCGAGCTAGTTCTGGCTGATGCCCGTGGCTGACAATGCCCGGGTGGTTCTGGGTGACGGTTGAGGGTACAGATAGTGACAGTGGGTGACGCTGAGTGAGGATCCACAGAGGGACTTAGATGATTAACTGCCACTTGAGGAGCCTAAGTCCAACGTTTCAATACTGCTGGGATCCTCAGCACCCCCTCCCAGCGGCCACTTAACCCCTGTAGGTGTCTAACATCAAGGACAGCTGGGGCTGCACAGAGCAGGATTTTGGCTGGTAGCATGTCTCTATTATACCCACTATCTACAGCCCTCTGCCCAGACGTGGGAAATCCAGGCTTGAATTCTGCCTGATCTGGACCTGGGGATTGCACCCAGCTCTCGCAAGGGAGTGCCCCCAACCCTGGGCTATTGAGTCCTGTAGGGGAAATCTCTCCTGTTGAAACTGTGCCACTTTGTGTCATAATTAAACAATGAAAGAATTTGACACCGAGATCAAAGTGTCTCCTCCTTGCCATGCAGTGAAAAGAGTTTGACACAAAGTGCCAGACTGTTTCATTACAGCACAAACCGGAGACGCGTTGATCTAGAAAAGAAAAGTCAACCAGATGTTTCAAGCATAGATTCATAGATTCCAAGGCCAGAAGGGACCATTGTCATCATCTAGTCCAGCGGTTCTCAAACTGGGGGTCCGAACCCTGAAGTGGTCGCGACCCCATTGTAATGGGGTGGCCAGGGCTGGCGTTAGACTTGCTGGGCCCAGGGCCGAAGGCCAAACCCCACCGCCCGGGGCTGAAGCCTGAGGATTTCAGCCCTGGGTGATGGGTCTCAGGCTTTGTGCCCCAACCCCAAGGGCAGTGAGGCTGGGGAGGGCTCAGGTTTCACTCCACCCTCCTGGGGTCGTGTAGTAATTTTTGTTGTCAGAAGGGGGTCGCAGTGCAATGAAGTTTGAGAACCACTGAGCTAGTCTGACCTCCTGTAGGACACAGGCCAGAGAACTGCCCAAAATAATTCCTAGAGCAGATCTTTCCAAAAAACATCCCATCTTGATTTAAAAATTGTTAGTGATGGAGAATCCACCACAACCCTTGGTAAATGGTTCCAATGGTTAATTACCCTCACTGGTAAAAATGTACACCTTATTTCTAATCTGAATTTGTCTAGCTTCAACTTCCAGCAATTGGATCACCTTATACTTCTCCGCTTGAGCAAAGAGCCCATTATGAAATATTTGTTTCCCACATAGATAATTACAGACTGTGATCAAGTCACTCCTTAACCTTCTCTTTGTTCAGATAAATGGCTCTAGCGCTTTGAGTCTCTCGCTGTACAACAGGTTTTCTAATCCTTCAATCGTTCTTGTGGCTCTTCTCTGAACCCTCTGCAGTTTATCAACATTGGTTTTGATCAGCACAAAGTAGCAACTGCCCTTAATGAATTATAAAATTAAACCACAGAATCTTTCAACGTATTATGACACGTCATGAAACAATGTAAAAAATAACACCAATCCTATACAAATAAGAATCCATAAAATAAAATTCAAAGTGAAATTTTGAAATGTTCAGAACAGAACATTTTCCACAATAAAAAAACGTATTATTCTGTAACTTCTTTTTCTGTGAGAATGTGTCAAAATTGACACAGTTTCATGAGAACATTTTGTTGAAACAGCTTTTCTACTGGAACAGTTTTGAGGGAAATGTTCTGACCAGCTCTCATTGTTAAACATTGAGAGAGGCTCCGGATGGGATCACCGATAGTGCCTGACTCATTGGGACTTGTACCCTCTCTGAGCTGTTGTAAGCACGTTCCCTGGGGCTAACAATCATTACTGCTGTGTCTCGCCACATCTCTCTCCAGACGGCTCCAGCTGCAAACTCTGTCCCATGGACTGGCTGTCACGCAGGGGAAAGTGTTACTGGTTTTCCAAAGACAGCAAAAACTGGAAGGAGAGCTGTGATGACTGCTCCGCGAAGAGCTCTCGAAAGCTAGTGATCCAAGACCAGGAGGAGATGGTAAAGTAAAACAGAGGGGGCGAGACTTCTGCTGGAGGGGGTCACTGCTTACATGGTCCCAGATGTGCAAGAGGAGAAGGAGATTTCTTCCTGAGGATGCTAATGCAGCATAACGGCTGGCATAGCTCCCACACGCTTTGCTCCCCATCAACAGGGGGATGGGAAAGCCAGGAGAGCCCCGACTCCCCCGTCTGTCCCCACTGCCTCTGCTTATTCCTCCTCATGCTGATGGATGCCCCTTCCCCATCAGCATCCAAGCACGGGAACAGCAGAGCGGGAGGCAGAGAGGTATATTAACCGCTCTGGGTGTGATTTTCAGAAGCTCAAAAGGGAGTTAGGAGCATAAGTCCCTGTCAATGGGGTGACAAGTGACTGTCACTGTTCTGCTCCTAATTCCTCTAGACACTTGGCACTCCCACCCTGTGTCATCTAGCCCTGAGCCCCGTTTACATGAGCGCTCCCACTGGTGCTGCTACACAGATGGTAGAAATGCTGGGACTTTATAAGAACAAAAGAAATTCTAGTGTAGACAAGTCCTAAATACTCAAGTGCCTGTTTTGAGAACAGTCTGTCAAGTTTGCTGGCTGAAGCAAAGAATCCTCGAGGTCTAGCAGGTTGTACTCACCCTCTGTGTTCACCCCACAGGAGTTCATACAGAACGTCACACAGGGTAAATATCATGTCTGGCTCGGGCTCAGTGTTACATCTGCAGAGAAGAACTGGACCTGGGTGGACAGCTCCGTGTTAGACCAAACTCTGTGAGTGTTGCCTGGTGGTTGCTATTTTTTTTTTTAAAGCATATGTAATGGCATCCTCTGGTTTAGCTATTCATAGGCCTTGAACACATGTAGCCGTGTATCTAAACAACCCAAACAGCAAGATTGCTTCAGCTCCAGGCCCTGCTCTGTGAATGCAGAGACTCTAGCAACTACAACGGTGAATTTTTGTCAGTGACCAGTAAATTCATTGGAAAAAATAATGTATTTTTCAGGGCAAGTAAACTGTTTGTGAAGTCATCTCAAATTAGCAAATAGTTTTGGCTGCCAATTTTTCCCCACCAAAAAAGTTAAAATGGTTTGCTTGACTGTTTGAAATGCAGTGTTGAAACTTTTTCATTTTTAAATGATGCTTTGTTTCAAAATTTAGCGGTGTATTAAAAAAAGATGTAAAAATTCCCAAAACAAAACAAAAAATAATATATATATTTGCATTTCATTTAATGTAGGGATGTTTTTCGACTCGTAATGATTTTTTTTTCCTGTTCAGTTTTTCATTCCAGAAAGAAAAACCTAGGGGGGAGAATCAGTTTTGGTTTGAACCAAACAATTTTTTTTTTTTCAGTTTAGCGCCAAAACTGAAAAAAAATAAAGTATTTGCTTAGCTCCAGTAGCAGCTTCATAAGCCTCTATCTATGGTGTAGCCACTAGATGGGGACAAAGAGCTACCCTGTGCTAGCATGTGCTACACAGAGCTCAGGAAAATTCAAACTGCCCATTGGATTAGAACGAAGACCCAACTACTCTAGGTTCCTTTCATTTAATCTAAGCACATTAAGGACAAATTTGTCCCTGATGTAATCAACTCCATTGATTTCAGCAGAGTTACAGAGGGTTTGAATTAGGCTCATTGACTTCCTTTCTCCTGTTTTACAGGTTCCCAGTAACGGGTCCTGCTGACGTGAACAGCTGCGGGGTGATAAAAGGGAATCGGATTCACTCTGAAACCTGCAGTGCTGAATTCAAATGGATTTGCCAGAAGGAAGGTGTGCCGCTATAAACAGTGGCATTAGAGACACTCATTCCTGTAACAGACCAGTACACTGCCTTGGGTTTCAGTCTTCGGGCCAGACTTCCAGGAGCGGATGTGCCTGTGGAGACATGTACGTGCATCCTCAAACCAGCTATTTGTATCTTCAGCTCGGGTAAATGCATGTGCAAATCAGGCCCAAGGGCAAAGGTGCATCTCATGGATGTAAACACTGCACCACTGACTCGAGTCCAGCAAGAACACACCTCTTCCTCCCCCAATATCACTTTCCACCATCATTGATTCCCTGGCTCCACCTCTTCCTCCTTCACCCCCTTCTCTTCACCCCCGCTGCCTCTTCTGCTTTCTGCCTCTCACGCCCAATACTTCAGTTCCCTTGTTCTCCACCTAGCTCAGTGGGAGGGACACTTTCACATCCTTGTTCTCCTGGATCTGGTCTCTCTGTCATCTTCACTGCGGTCCTGGGTCTTCTCCTGCTTTTCTGCCTATTCCTCCTTCAGCATCTCCTTGACAACCTTGGAAGTTTTTTAACCCAATGTTCTTCAAATCAGGTGTTTCATGAAAGCTGACAACGGCTCTTGAACAGTTTCAGTTTTAATGAGTTGGCTTTTTCTGACCAAAATAAATCAGAACATTGCTAACCACGACTACGTGTCTCATATTTTTGTGAATTTTGCATCATTTGTAATTTCTAACCACCTCTCTCCATTTCCCATTTTTAATCAATTGTCATTTTGTATAGTTTATCATCTTTAAGTTTCAGAATAAGGATATTTTAATGTTTTTGGCAGCTTAGTCACCATGGTGCATTTTTATTTAATTTCATATTATTTTTAAAATTAGTTTACAAAAGGAAAGCAATAAACAACAAATGTTCAAGAGAAAATTTGCTAAAAATAGTGGTAAAGTTTAAAAAGAAATTATTTTAAATGAAAAATATTGATGTTGAGAAAAGGGCATTTTTGACCAGAAAAATCCCCCAATCAACCAACTTATGTTTCAAAAATATTGACCAAATAAAACTTTTAAAAATTATAAAAATTGATATTACTGAGCTAAGAAATAGCAAAAAAAAAAAAAAAATTATAACTGCCAAGCCCTTTACACCACAAAGCAGCAAATTAGCAAATACAAAGACTTATTTTACTGCATTTTATACATTGTAGTACCTGGCATAGCCACCAGATGTCACTGCTCTCACAAACCCAACAGGACTTGCCTTTCTCTGTACAAATGGGAAAATGTAATGCCATAAACTAGCATTAAATGGGAAAATAGTGAAATTGCAACACAGCTCTGTGTAAGCTACAGCTCAAAGTGTGTTAATCTTTTGGGAATTAGAACACTGATATGTGGCTGCTGTATGCAGGAGGAGGATGGGACTGTGGTTGTCTCCATGTGTCTGTGCAGCACCTGGCATAATGGGACCCATATCTTTACCAGGGTCTCTGGATCTATAGTAATATACATAATACCACCTGGAAGCTGGCTGGGCTCTGGATTTTCCAGGGGGACATTGATAACAACAATACACTTAGATGGCGGATGTCCATAGCGCTGAATGTCCATGACCACAGTATATGGCTTTGTTCCAGGAGTCTGAAAGAGTCACAGGATTATTGATCTGTTGCAGCCAGCTTAATTGTGGATGGGACAGACTACCCCTATGTTCATCCTTTTTACAAGCTAATGATGATTTTTGTACAAAGTATACTTTGTGAGTTATCATGTGAGAACTTGTAATCTGCTGAACATTATTGTCTGGGTAAAATATTTGCAGGATCATTGTTTGTATATGTATAAGATTCTACTGTATAGCATTGCTGTGACATATTCCAGAGTTAGAAAATCTGGCCCAAACCTGTTCTTCAGAGACAAAGACACACTGGTGCCCCAGGCAGATATCAGCATAATCAAATGAACTATCATGGACTATCATCTAGTTAAGTGGCCATTCTTTGGCAGGAAGAAGAGTGTGAGCAAGAACTTTAAATATTGGCAACGGAAACAGCTGGACGTCCTGTGTAAACAGACTGGCTGTTGCCTGAATCCCAGCTGGAGATAATCCTCAAAGAAGGGAGAATTGTTTAAAAATAGAGAATACACACAACACAAATTACTTCTCTCCCCTCATCGCAGCTACAATGTTTGAAAGACAAAGGAAGCATCATTGAACAGTGTGGGAGGTCCTGGCTGAAGCAATCCAGCCAGACTGCTGGAAGCTTATGGTGAGAGAAATGTTTTGCTTTTAAGTTCATTTAGCTTGTTGAGATAAGTATTAGCAGGTGGTTTATATTTTTATTTTCTTTGTAACCAATTCTGACTTTTATGCCTCATTACTTGTAGTCACTTAAAATATAGTTTTCTATAATAAACTTGTTTTATCTAAACCTAGGGAGTCCAGGGATCATGCATGGCATCATCACCTTTTGACATGTGCACCAGCTCCGGAGAGTGGCTTCTCATTCTGGCATGCGGAATGGGCAGAGTTCATTTTTGTTGACGGAGTTCATGAGAATATCACTGACTCCTCGAGCTCACCACCTACTGAACTCTTCCTTTTGGGCTGAAAACTGTCATGTCTGAGCTCTTGCCTAAAGGTGAATTTTTTTTGGTGAGGCCTAAGCAAAGGCAAAAAATGGTTCAGTCCAATTATGATAATAACAGAGGCAGTCCAAGTGGAGTCAGTGTGACAGTGAAATCTGCTTTATTCACAACTCCCCAGTCCATTTTGAACAAGAGGATTTAATTGTATTTAATTTCAAAGAGGCAACTAATGGAAATACCCATGAATATACAGTGAGGCAAAGACACATGTAGGACCAAAGATAAAGGATATGAATAGTAACTAACATTTGCATACTAGTAAGCTAGTTACCTACTTCTTACACCTCGGAATCAAACGAGTATATAGTGCAATAAATACGTGTAAAGAGGTAACAGACTCAGTCTAGAAATAGTGTAAATGTCTAACTGAGGATAATTAACCATTGGAACAATTTACAAAGGGTCATGGTGGATTCTCCATCACGGGCAATTTTTAATATCAAGATTGGATGTTTTCTAGAAGATCTGCTCTGGTTCGAACAGGGACTAATCCAGGGCAGTCCTACGGCTTGTGTTTTACAGGTCAGCTGAGATTCTCACAGAGATCCCTTCTGGTCTTGGAATCTACAAGTCTATGACAGCCCGAGACCCACTACTGTCAACTCCAGATGTACAAAAATCATGAAAGAAATGAAATGTGCTTAAAAAATGTTGAGTTCTTTCTCGTTGCCTTCTGGTTTGTGAGTCTTTCAGGAGAACTTGAGTCACCATTTTAAGCTTTACGCCATGAAACTGTGGGCTAGAAACTTGCTTAAAAAAATAACACAGCAGAAAGCTGAGGATCTCAGATCAGCTCATTCCAAGAACCGGGGTTTGCCGAAAAACAACAACTACAGTGCCAAAAAATTGCAGGAGTTGCCAACCCTGGAGACTCAGCTGAGCTGGTGTATAGGCAGAGCTTGGAGATGCCTCGTTCTACACAAGTGGGCCCTGAGGATGTGATTTTCAAAAGCGTCTGTGTGGCTTTGGAGTGGAACTAGGTGGGAAACTCCTTTCGCATCCATGAGAATTTGGGAGATTTCAAAATTTTATCCCATCCCAAATCAAGATGAAGAGTCAAACTCTAGAAAATTGTCAAGAGTCAATAAACCAAACCAAAAATTCATTCTGCATCCAATGAAACCGTTGGCTTCAATAATTTCAAAATGTTTTGATTGTGACTTTTTTCACGTTTAACATTCCTGAAAACGTTGTTCCGGCTCAAAAGCCCCAAAACATTCTGGTTTGAATGTGTCAAAACATTTTGTTTAAAAAAATTTGAAAATATTTTTCCTCCAATAAATTTGGAGTCAAGAGATTCAGTGAAACCAACCCTGTTTTCCTAACCGTCTAATTTTTGACAACTTGGCATTTTTCAGTGAAAAACAGCTTGTCGAAAAATACCCAACTACCTCTATTTTCCAGCACAACTCAAGTAACTGTGGTGTTTTTAAAAATTCCACTGTTAAGAAGTTTAATGCAGTTGTGTCGTGTGGCTCTAGACAGCCAGGTTGTCTGGAGTTCAGATTTTAAGTCAGGACTAAGGTTCATAGATTGCAAGGCCAGAAGGGACCATTGTGATCAGCTTGTCTGACCTCCTGGATAACATAGGCCGGAGAACGCCCCCCATCACAATCCCTAGAGCAGATCTTTTCAAAAAACATCCAATCTTGATTTAAAAATTGTCAGTGATGGAGAATCCACCACGAGCCTTGGTACATTGCTCCATGTGCAAATTGTTGTGTGTCTGGTTTATGTTCTCTTCTAGGTCATGAGTAACAGGTCGTTCCCTGGGCCAGTCTGAGGATTCCCCGATGCCTTGTCAATTGTCTAGGGGCATCTTAAAATGTAGGGGTCTCTTGTGACCCTTAGCAAGGCACAGTCACTGCTTCATTCTGAATGGTCCAGTGGAACGGGCATTAGACGGGGAATAGGAAGACTTGGGTGCAATTTGCAGTTTTAGATTTCCTCTGTGATCTTAGGCAAGTCAATTAATTCACCTTGTGCTTTGTTACCGAGATTAACATGTCATAGAATTGTGGGCCTGGAAGGGACCTCAAAAGGTCATCGCGTCCCAGCCCCTGGCTCCCTCCCTGCTCTGATGAGAAGATCCCTTAATGACTGGGCGGCGTTCAGCTACTAAAGCGTCAGGGCCAGATGAGTAGAGACTCAACTGGGCTTCCGGTAACTCAACTATCTTAAAAGAAACAGGTTCTTGCCCATGGGATTCACACCAGACTAGTTGATGGGGTGCTAGTGTGGGAATTTTGGAGGCTACCAAACCATGTGCCTTCTGGGGACTTGGAGAATTTGGGGGTGGCAGTTTCATACAGGCCTTTGGGGAGTTTCCTACTCCAGTGCCAACAGCACTACTTGGAAAACGCCTAAGCCCCATCGCTCTTAAGATCACTTATCTACTTCTGCCTCAGTCAGGGCTGCTTCAAGTCCAACTATTCCTCCATCCTTTGTGTCTGGAATTCGCTCCTTCCCACCCCCAAGCTGTGAAATAGGCTGAATCAAACTCGGGCTATGCTGCAAAACCCCATCGGTGTGAGCTGGCATTGGGGGTGGAGGGGAACAGCTGCTTTAAGGGAGGTGAGGAGTGGTGGGGACCAGAGCCACCCCGAGGATTCAGGGGGCCTGGGGCAAAGCGGGGGAGCGGACCTAAAAAAAGGCGCCACCCACTGCGGCGCTTGTACTCATCGGGCGGCGCTCCACGTCTTCGGCAGCAATGAAGGGCCCCCCCCCGCAGCCAAAATGCTGCCGCAGACCCGGAGCAATTGAAGAGCCCCCCCGCCACGGAAGTCCTGGACTGCCGCCGGGTGAGGCGCCTCTAGCCAGGAAAGAGATGCTTGCGGGGCCCCTGCGGGGCCAGGGCAAATTGCCCCACTTGCTCCCCCCTCTTGGCGGCCCTGGTGGGGACTGATTCAATCTGTGACAGGATTTCCTGACGAGTTGCTGGATGTGGGGTATGGGGCTGTTTTGGTTTTGTGACTGCATTCGTGTTATGTTTTTAATTACAGAGCCTGGGTTTAAATGGATTTTTATATCAAGATCGTTCCCTTAGTCCTTTAGCTGCTCTGCTTTGTCTAATCCTCCTCACATCAGTTTCAAACTGGCCCAATCAGGACCGGTGTAAAAGTAGCATCGCAGCTGGGAGACATTTCTGACACTGCAACCTATGGCGTTTTCATGGTTGGGTCATTTGTCCAAGGGATTTAAGCTCTGATCAGGAGAGAACTGGCCGAGTTCAGTCAGGCCGGTTTCCCATTTCTCTGGGCTGTATTAATAGTGTCAGAGCCCCCTGTCCGCACCCCCTTTTGGAGAAGGAGAGCAGGTTGTTTTAATAGCAGCTAGCAGCCGATTTATCAGCTATTGAGAACTGTCATCCTAATAATAAATAAGATAAATGAGATCAAACGAAGCAATTCCATGTGGATAATCTACAATGGAGCCCAGGAGCACGCTCTTAAATGCTCCTTCCCAAGCACTGGGCAGCTCCAGCTGGGAAATTGCTCCACTGAAAAGGAGCCCAAGGGCTGGAAGGTCGGTTCAGGACATCTTGGAGATCTGCTGCTATCCAGCCGCACTGCTCAGCAAAAATCCACACAGCCCAGGGGTCCTGCCCCAGGAAGCAAAACTAAGGTTCAATTCATTTCTAAAAGCAGCAGGACTCGTCTTTGGCTCAGGAAGAGCCATCGGTTATTAAAGGACGAGGTCACTGGGTAGAGGCAATTTACATAGTAACTGCAAGACTAATTCAGAGCTGTAGTGCGTTTGGGGCCCGCCCCAGCAGCTTCAGAAGACCGGTCAAGAGACATCTTAGTGGACAATGTCGGAATAACCAACCAAATGGAGAAGGTTCCTCCTGATCTTCATTACTTAGATGGTGGTTCATGCCCTGAAGAAGGAAGGTTTGGATCCCTTCCCAAACTCCTGTCCATTTCCTCTCTTGTGTGAACGACAGTATCCAATGTCCCAGTCCTTTTAAAAATAAATCCTGCCAAGATCTTGGCTTCAATCACACCCTGTAGCAGTGAGTTCCGCAGGCTAACTGTGCGTTGTGGGAAAACATGGTCCTTTGATCAGTTTCAAATTTGCTGATTTTTCAATTCTGTTATGCGGCCCCATTGGTCTTGTAGCAAGAGATGGATTGAATAGCAGCACCCTAATCTCCCTTGTTCACGTCCCCTTATTCTCTGACGAAAGTCCCACCTGGCCTCCCATCATTCTTCTTACCGGTGTCTGAACCTCCTCTAGTTCTTCAGCAGCCTTTTCGAGATGGGTGACCCGTACTGGACACGGTGTTCCCCATCAGGGTGTCCCTTTGATTCATATAATGACAACCGAGCATTTTCTGTATTGTCACCTCCTTATATATCCCAACATCTTGTTTGCTTTGTCATCAGCTGCTGCACGCTCAGCCGAGGTCTGCGCTGGGCGATCTACAATGACACCCCTGGGTGAGATGCTGGCCTCACTGAATTGAATGGGAAAATGTGCATAGATTTTAATGGGGTCAGCAGGTCACCCCGGCTCCTTCTCCTGAGCTGTTGTGGTGATGTTAGTAGCTAGGAAGATGGCTGAGCAACCCTCAATTGTTCCTCCACTGGACCCTATGTGTATTTGTCACACTGTTTCATTTGCCGGTGGGTGGCCTGTTCCTCTCATGTGGCCAGATCCTGCTGAAGTTCCTCCTGTTGTTTTTCAGTTTAAATTAACCTAATAATTCAGCGTCCAGTGCAAATTTTGCTATTTTATTCTTCGGCCCTTGTTTATAAACTTGTCTGTAGACGAGTTGTGTGAGAGGCAGTTTCTCTAGTAGCCCTGTCATAACTATAAAGGGAAGGGTAACAGCTCTCTGTGTACAGAGACTCCAAATCCTTTTACCTGTAAAGGGTTAAGAAGCTCGGGTAACCTGGCTAACACCTGACCCGAAGAACCAATAAGGGGACAAGATACTTTCAAATCTTGGGGGGGGAAAGGCTTTTGTGTGTGTCCTTTGTTTTAAGGGATTGTTCGCTCTTGGGACTGAGAGGGACCAGACATCAATCCAGGTTCTCCCCATCTTTCTAAACAAGTCTCTCCTATTTCAAACTTGTAAGTAAAAAGACAGGCAAGGCGTCTTAGATTTACTTTGTTTTCTCAACTTGTAAATGTACCTTTTACCAGAGTGTTTATCTTTGTTTTGCTGTACTTTGAACCTAAGACAGAGGGGGGTCCTCTGAGCTCTTTAAGTTTGATTACCCTGTAAAGCTATTTTCCATACTGATTTTACAGAGATGATTTTTACCTTTTTCTTTAATTAAAAGCCTTCTTTTTTAAGAACCAGATTGATTTCTCCTTGTTTTAAGATCCAAGGGGGTTTGGATCTGTGTTCACCAGGGAATTGGTGAAAGGTTTCTCAAGGCTTCCCAGGGAGGGAGTTCTTGTGATGGTGGCAGCGGACCAAAGCTAAGCTGGTAGATAAGCTTAGGAGTCCTCATGCAGGCCCCCATTCTTGTACCCTAAAGTTCAAAGTGGGGATACAGCCTTGACAAGCCCGTTGTGAGCCTTTGTCAGCTCCTTATCCTCTGCGTCGTGTTTTTCTGGCTTGTATACGCATCAGGTTTGCTGCAGACCCAGTTTCTCTTGGTGATGCACCTTGAAGCGCTGACGCCGTTGTCATTCAGGTACACGCAGTTACCTCCTCCTCCTATCGGGAACCTGCAACGAGAGAGAATGAAGCCATCGTCAGCCAGCAGCTGGGCCTGTCCTGTTACTGCCAGTGGGAGAATGCGCCTGACGCAGGGGCTCCCAAACTCTTTGCCAGCATGACCCCATGTTAATGAATTATTTCCTCCCAGGACCCCAGGCAACATGGAGGACGCCATTTTGTAGAGCAAAATGGCGTCCTCGACCCAGCGCATAGGCAATGACTCGAAGGGTGCTCTGGAGCACACATGGGGGGAAAAAAAAAATGGCTGGTGGGGGCTGAGCACCCACCAGCCATCTGCAGATCAGCACCTTGCTCTCCCCCGCAGCGCCTCCTGCCCGTCGGTGGCCCCGTGGATCAGCTCCAGCACCTCCCACCCACCACGGATCAGCTGTTCAGCAGCATGCAGGATGCACTGGAGGGAGGGGGAAGAGCAGTGGCAGGAAGAGGCAGGGGAGGGGCTGGAATGGGGCAGGGCAGGAAGAGGTGGGCTGGGGGGAGGAGCAAAGGGTGTGCGGGGGCAGGGCCTGGGGCAGAGCAGGGGCAGGAAGAGGTGTGGGCGGGGAGGGTTGGAGGCAGGAGAGGAGAGGGTCAGGGCCTGGGGCAGAGCAGTGGTCGAGCACCCCCGGGATCTAAGTAAGTCGGCATCTATGGCAGAGAGTGGTCTCCTGTGCACCATTTTGTGCAGAGTCATGCCGCACAGAGGACGCCATTTTGCTCTACAAAATGGCATCCGCCCCACAACGTGCCCTCATGCCTAGCAGGGCCGGCTCCAGGCAGCAGCTTACCAAGCAGGTGCTTGGGGCGGCCACTTCGGAGAGGGGCGGCACGTCCAGCTGTTCGGCGGCAATTCGGCAGACGGTCCCTCACTCCTGCTTGGAGCGAAGGACCTCCTGCTGAATTGCTGCCGCAGATCACAATTGCAATCGCGGTTTTTTTTGTTTTTTTTTTGGCTGCTTGGGGTGGCCAAAACCCTGGAGCCGGCCCTGTGCCTAGGTCATGCAAAGTCATGCCGTGTGGAGGATGCTACTTTGTAGAGCAAAATGGAGTCCTCTGCGCACGGTGCCCTCACAGGAACCGTACAGGCGAGGTGGTGCCGGGTGGAGCAAAGTGGCACCCTCTGCACACTAGGGGTCACTGCCACCCCATCTGCTGACGGCGCAACCCCCAGTTTGGGAACTGCTGATCTAACACTTCCAGTCTGGATCACTGTATCTCTCCCTCTTGTGTGAGGGGGGCCAAATGAGCCCACCTCTACTATTGCAGGTGTATGAGGGAAGGATTTTCTAGCTAGAGCCAGGTGACGTGTTTCAGATGAAGAGTTTAGTCACCGAAAAATGCAATTTTAAGTCGCCTGAAACATTTGGGCCTAAATTAATTTTTTCTTCAGGCTAGATTGACAAGGGGACGTGGGTGTCCTTCACAAAACTGGAGAAAGAGGGAGTGGTAAAACCGATAGCCCGGTCATCAGCCTACTTATCTGGGATGAGGAAAGCACAGGTTCAAGTCCCTACTCCGAATCAGACAGGGCGAGGACTTGATTTGGGATACAGGAGACCCAGGTTGAGTATAGCCCTGGTTAGGGCTATAGAGTACAGGGGTCAGGGGATGGAGGACAGACACCACCATTGGGTTTGTGCCTGGTGCTTCCAAATTTCCTTTGCTTTTAATTAAAAAAAAGCAGTTTAAAAATGCCTGAAACTGAAAGGAAACATTTCATTTCGGGTTGAACAAAAGAAAATTCATTTGACATGAAAGTAAAAACTTTGGCTCTTTGTTTTGCCCAGAAAACTGAAAATGTTTCATTTCTGGTTGAGCCAGGTTCTTCTGCTCCCAATTTTCAGTTCAGCCAGCGAACGGCAAAATCGCTCATTCCGACAGCTCTAGATCTTACACCTTCCTCTGGGGCAGCTGGCGCTAGCCACTGGCAAAGACAGGAGATGGGTCTAGATGGACCTTGGGTCAGAACCAGCCTGGGCCTTCCTGTGCTCCAGGGTATGTGACAGGCTCATGTAGGACCTGACCTAGCCAGGCTGCACTGAGGAACCCAATTCCTGAAGGTGGCCCCGGGTGGCAGTGAGCAGGGGAGTCAGTCTCCACTCACGAGGGTTTCTCTGCGGCCCCTTTCATACTGACGGTTGCTGTTGTGTGAATAACTCAAACCGTGAAGTCTGTTAGCTGTGGTGGAACTGACTCACTGTGGTGCCTTTTGCTTTCCCTTGAATCTCAAAGGACTCCGCTGTCTGTGGAGACATGTGGCCGCTGACACACATGCAAACTCTGTTCCCTCTTTTTGACGTTGTCTCAGTCTAAGACATGGGTGTCAAACGTTCAGCCCCGGACCAGGTATCACCCCTTTTCTCCAGCCTCCGACTCCCCAAAGGCATCGGGCCTGCAGCTCCCCAGGGACTGGAGTCTGAGTCGGAGGAGATGAGGTGGGTGGATTCGGCCCAGACAAGTTTGACTCCTCCCCCCCCCCCCCCCCCAAAATCACAACTTAAAATATTTCAATTTGGAAAAGCTGCCATGGTGCCTCATAGGAGCTGTAGTTCAGGTGCCTCGTGCTCCCCTTTTCCTCTAGAGACCAGGTTCCCCATTCAGACTACATCTCCCAGAGTGCACCATGGTCGCACTACTGGTCAAGAGGAGGCAATACATCATGGGAGATGCAGTGCAACTGCCTCATACTCCCATTCTTTGCTATAGGCCGAGTTCCATGTCCAAACTACATCTCCCATGGTGCCCCTGATCTCTCTTGGTGAGGGGAGGTGGTGCATCATGGAGTCCCTTGGCCATGCTGCACCATGGGAGTAGTTGACCAGTTGGGGAGCTCAGCCCATAAAGGGGGAGATTGGGAATATGAGGAAACCAAACAACAACTCCCATGAGGTATAGGGGCAGCATTTTGGGCTGAAATATTTCAGTTTTTGGTCGTTGTGGGTTTTTTTTGGGGGTGGGGGGGAGGAGGGGACGGTTTGATTAAAAAAAGTCACATTTTTCCATGAAAAGACATTTTATGAAAAAATCTTATCAAAACCCCAATTTTCCACCAATAAACAGTTTCAATGAAAAGTTCTCAACAACCCGAGTGTTACCATCACCCTAGCAGCGCAGCATCCCTTGCTTCGCTTGATCCATGTCTCAGCAGTGGGAGTGAGCCCCAAATCCCGGAGACAATACAGATTTCCCTCACTCCCCGCCAGTATTTCGGGGTTTACATGGTGAACGTTGGCTCCATCTGAATTCAGCCCCACAACCTAGTGTTCAGAACTTAGACAGAAAAAGGACTCACGAGCTGTTGAAATCAGAGCCATTCACCCATTTCCAGGGCTGTCTCTCCTGCTCTCTCCAGAGGCCAATCCAGTGCTCGGAGATGCCTTTGTATCGCATCATGAAATCCTGTAACATAGAAAAAGGAAAGAGTTTGATTCCACACGCGCTGCTCACAGGGCTCCAGGCAGGACAGAGTCACGTTATACAGAAATGTTCCTGAGTTAGTTAAAGCAAAGTGTGGAACTGAAACTACAGCTCCTGGGTTCCACTTTAGTGGCTTAACCTCAGACCATCCCTTCAGCCCCACCTCAGTCACGGCGCCCCATACAACCAGTACAGCGAACGTGGCAGGAAGCTGCGGACCCCAGAAGAATTCATCACACAGCCCTGCCCCATTCTTTGGGCACTGAATGAGGCAGGGGTCCCGTGGGAAAACACAGCAGGGGGCCACATAACTAAAGATTGGATCATAACTGATCCACACCAAAAGGAAGGAGAAGGAAAACCAGAGTTAAGGTGGCACTTGGGAGCTTTGACTTGTTTCCAGTTAGAGCTGGGCAAGTTTTGGTGACTTGTAAATTCACTGAAAACTTCTGGGCTGGAGTTCCTAGGTGCCACCACGAGAGAAATAATCAAGTGGATTTGCTGAAACTTTCAGGAAAAAAGCCTCCCCTTGAGAGAGTAAAGTTCAGACAAGTCGTCCGTCCCGTCCCACAAAAGGAAAACCCGGGGGCAGTTATAAGCAACTGAAAAATGGAAATGCTCAGACCAGTGGTGCCCAAACGTTTCCTGTCGTGTCCCTACTTACCAGTAACGGAATCGGTCGGAAGAGGAGCTTGAGCGGAAGGCGGAGCTGGGGATGGGGGAGAAGCTGGGGCTAGAGGCAGAGCTGGGGGAGGGGTGGAGCTGCAGCTGGGACCGAAGCTGGGCTGGGGGTGGAGCTGGCCTGGGGGCGGAGAGGGAATGAGGGCAGAGCTAGGCTGAGGGCAGAGCTGCATCTGGCACTGGAGCTGGGGGCAGGACGGAGCTGTGGCTGGAGCTGGGGGGGTGGGGTGGGCGGGGCAGAGCTGCAGCTGAGGACAGAGCTGGGCTGGGGTGGCCCTGAGGCTGGGGATGGGGAGGCGGAGCTGCGGCTGAGGGGCGGAGCTGTGGCTGGAGCCAGAGCTAGGCTGTGGCTGAGGCTCCCTCCCTGTCCCCTCTGGGGGCTGGCTCAGGCCCCGCCATATGCCCCCCGCCGAACGTTCCTCTGCGTCTCCCTAGGGGAGGCGACTCCCCACAGTTTGGGGACCAGTGGCTTAGGCAATTTTAACAATATGCATCATCTCGTGTGCCTACACCAGGGCCGGCTCCAGACACCAGCCAACCAAGCATGTATTTGGGGCAGCACCTTGTAAGGGGCGGCCAATCTTGGGGTGGTGGGGCGGCGCTCGGGTTTTTTTGTTTGTTTGTTTTGTTTCGGCGGGGTGACGCTCGGGGGGGGGGAGGTTGTTTTTGTTTTTGGTTCGGCAAGGCGGTGCTGGGGAGGGTTGTTTTTGTTTCGGCGGGGCGGCACTGGGGGAGGTTGTTTTTGTTTTTGGTTTGGCAGAGCTTGGGGGGCTGTTACGGCAGGGCAGCGCTGGGGCGGTTGTTTTTGGTTCGGCGGGGCGGCACTCGGGGGGGTGGCGGTCTTTTGGTTCGGCGGGGCGGCGGTCTTTTAGTTATTTAGTTATTTATTTATTTGCGCTTCGGGCAGCAAAAAAGTTAGAGCCGGCCCTGGCCTACACTATCCTACGTGGAGTCTTACCCCATCCCCCTTGTACTTGAGCATCTTACACTCATAAATTAAGTGATCCAATTAACACGTTACATGTGATTCGTTCTCTCTCCCAAGGGGGAGAGTCGTGTGTGTGTAGTGGAGTGGTTTGTTTTGGTAGGGTTTTGTTATTTGAAGTGCACACGCTACGTGTTTATGTGAAGGCGGCCATCTTGGCTGACACACTGGGAACCTCCATAATGAAAAAGCCCAAGTCACGCCAGCTGGAGCTAACGGAGCAACCCTCTCCAGTCAGCACAGATCCTCTGTGGACGAGCACAGAGTGTAACCAGTGACACGCTCACCAGTGAGTTACACGGATATCCAAGAAGACAGCTCAAAGAAGTGAACCTCGCTCTCGGAGCAGAAGGTGGTGAGGTTCTGGACGGTCCTTAGTTCCTGGGGGAGTCCATTCCCCAAACTAGGACCAGCCACCAAGGAAGCTGCATCTCCCTCACTGAGAAGCTTTGCCCTTAAATGGTGCGAGAGAAGCAGAGATGTCAACCAAGGTCTTCATCCTGGAGCTTTCGGCTCTTTTAGATACCCTGGGCCTAGGCCACGGAGCGCCTTGAAGACCTTGACCATAACTCTAGCATAGCCCATCGCCCCCAGAATGGGTCTGTTTTCCTTCTCACCAGGTCCTGCTTGCTGTCAATCACAGCCAGGGAAGCGCCAAGTGTAGAGCAGTTGCTCTGGCTGTTGTTCCAGTTCTCTTCAGCCTCGGAGAAATAGTAGCATTTCCCTCGGTATCCGACCCAGCCGTCTGGGCACCAGGCCATGAACTGGGGCTGTGCTTTAAGTAACTGCACTGAAATTGAGAGAGCAACATAAGGGTAAGAGCCCATCCTTTCCCTCCCCTGCTCCCCCAAATGCAAATACCCACCAGATGGAAATGAGGAAAGGCTCCAAAGTGCAACCTTAACCCTGGTTTCCTGCTCCTTCCTTTTTATGTGCATCAGTTATGATTAGGGCCCTACCAAATTCACAATTCATTTCCCTAAATTTCATGGTCACGGCATTTTAAAAATCTTGAATTTCACGGTTTCAGATATTTAAATCTTACATTTCACGGTGTTGCAACAAAACATGAATATGTATTTAAAAATGGCAAAATATAAACTCGTAAAGCCCTTAAGACTCAGCGTTTCACAAACTGGGGGTCCTGACGCAAAAGGGGTTCACAAGGCTATTGTAGGGAGGTTATGGTATTGCCACCCTCACTTCTGCGCTGCCTTCAGAGCTGGGTGGCCAGAGAGCAGCGGCTGCTGCCCAGGTGCCCAGCTCTGAAGGCAGCGCTGCCACCAGCAGCAGCACAGAAGTAAGGGCGGCAATTCCGTGACACCCCCCACCCCCACACACAATAGGCTTGCAACCTCATTTTGGGTCGGGACCCCCAGTTTGAGAAACGCTGTGTACTTCTGTATACTTTTACCATATAGTATAAAGTACTTTTATAGCATAGAGTAAAAGTACACAAAAAAACAGATTTCACAGTCCATGATGTGTTTTTCACAACCGTGAATTTGGCAGGGCCCTAGTTATGATACTATCTTTATGTGACAGAGGGTCCTGTGGCACCTTTAAGACTAACAGATGTATTTATGCTCCAATACATCTGTTAGTCTTAAAGGTGCCACAGGATCCTCTGTTGCTTTTTACAGATCCAGACTAACATGGCTACCCCTCTGATACGTATCTTTATGTGGTCACCTGTTATGTTTTTCCACAGGACCCCTGCCTCATTCAGTGTGCAAAGAACAGGGCAGAATTGTGTGATGAATTCATCTGGGGTCCACAGTCCTGAAAAATCTGGCCGCTCCCCTGAGAGTGGGAAGGTGGAAAAGGAGATCTGGGGGATATGGCAGCTAGAAACCAAAATCCTACATCACAGTCAAACACCCACTGTTAAACAGGAAAGCTGAGCCTGGCCCACTGCTCCCTGCAGGCTAGAAATGGGACACACACCTAGCAGCTTTCTCTATCAAAATCCACTTTGTGAGTTATCTCCAGCACATTCACCCCTGGGATTACTCTAGCCAGCCACTAGGTGTCACTGTAAGATTCTAGAGGGGAGATTCTAGAGTCCGGGTCAAACCCAGAATCAAGGTAACAGGCCTTTAGTCGTCGCTGTTCCTTGTCAGTGCAGTGTAGACATACTCTGGGAGCTACAGTTTAGGGTACATCTACACTGCAATAAAACTCCCGCGGCTGGCCCATGTCAGCTGACTTGGGCTCACAGGGCTCGGCCTGCAGGGCTATAAACTGCAGCGCAGATGTCGGAACCCAAATTTATTTTTTAAAGTCACATGATTTCGAAGCCGATCTCATGATTTTGGGGGCATGACCTGTGGTTTGTCCCATGCTCAGGCTGGTGTTGACATAGGTCCAATTGCTCAACAGAAAAATCTTTGTCAGCGTAGGCTGGGTCTATACTATGGTGTTATGCCAGCATAGGCACAGTGTAGTATCCGTTGGGTAGACATCCCCGAGACTGTACGCTCTTTGGAGGAGAAATTCCTTTCCTGTTTGTATTATCTCAGGAACTGACGTTTATCCCTTTCGTTACAATGATACACACTTACCCAGGAAGACAATTTAAAGGGCCAGTTTTGTCATCGCATACAAGGCTCAAGAAGGGAGCAGGAGGGAGATTCTGAAGATGTGTTCCTGGCCCCCATGGCTGATGCCTGAGAGGAGACAGCCCGTGACTCTGGGTATGTCTGCACAACAATGGCACTGCTACGCTGCTGCAGCCATTCCACAGTAGTGCCGGAGCATAGAAACTTCCTACATCAACAGAAGGGTTTTTAACATCGCGGTAGTTAATCCACCTCTCCGAGAGGCGGTAGCTAGGTCGATGGAAGGACCCTTCTGTCGATCCAGCCGTGTCTACACCAGGGGTTGGGTTGACCTAACTGTGGTGCTCTGGGCATGGCATTTTTCACAGCCCCAAGCGGCGTGGCCAGCTCAATGTAAATGGAACATACAGACACTGGGATCAGCCACTCACCTGCCAGAACAACAACAGCAACAATCAGAATGACAAGTACAACGCTCACTGCGACTGTACATGCAGCA